GCGGGCGGAGGAGCCGGCCCCGCTCACCGTGACTCCGTACTTGAGCGCGATGCCCTGCAGCGTGTCGCCCGCGCGGACCCGGTGCTCCACATGGCGCTCGATGATGCCCGCGCCCAGCGGCGCCCGCACGCTGGCGGTGCTGCCGTACGAGCGGGTCTTGGTGCGGGCCAGGCTCAGCGACAGCTCGGCCTCCTCCGGCTCGGAGCCGGAGCGTGAGCGCGGCGGCGGCGAAGGGGCCAAGGGCCGGGACGCGCGAGGGCCGCCTTCCCGCAGGGCCAGCGCAGGCGAAGAATCCGCCATGGGTCCTGCGGAGGCCTCCGGGTCGGGAAGCGGGCCAAGGGGGCGGCGCCTCCGCCGCCGCCTCCGCTTCCTCCTCGCTAGGGCTGCGGAGGGCCGCGCCGCGGGGGTGGCGGGCTGGAGGCAGCGGATGGAAGCTGCGGTCCTAGCATGGCGGGTGCCCCCTCCTCCGCGTCCCGCCTTTCCCGGGCGCACGTTCCAGAAGAGCGAAACCAGCTCCCGCAGCCACCGGCCCGACTGCGCGCCCCACCCTGCCTGCCGGGACCGCGGAGGCCCTGCGGTGCGAGGAAGCCGGGGGGCGCGCCCAAGCCCGCGGCCTTGGGGGCTAAGAGCGCCCCATCCTTAGGTTTCCTTAGCTCCGGGTGGAGCCCCGCTTCAGACCGACAGAGCCTGGTTAGAGCCCTGCCCTGACCACAGCAAAACACCAGAGCTTTGCTCTGCCCCCTTTATTGATTGCCCCAGCAGGCACCAGCTTTCTCAGACCTTTAAGCTCTCCCATGCCAAAGATACTTCGCTCTCCCCAATCGATTACCCGGATGACTTCTAAGTCTACCTCGCACAAAATATGTTAACATCATTAAACACACGGCTTCTTCAGGCCCATCTCAACAGCCTGGAGGGTCCATTCATTACAACATTACACTAGGACGATAGTGCTTCTAAGGCCTGGTGGATGACCTCAAAGTAACCTCCAGTTGTTTGGGTTTCACTCTTCATTGCACACCAGTGCCAGTTTTGGTCTTGGGCTGCCTTGAAAGTCTGACTAGCAATGGTCTATTCTCCTGGCTCACTGCTTAGAATTTACTATCTGCATCCATCTTTTTTTCTTATCAGTTTGGTTTCCTCTTTAGTACCCTGAAATCGTAACTCCCCAAAGTATTATCATTAAATCTACCAATGACCTCTTATCTGTATTCTTCATCTGAACACCCTCTCCTCAACATTCTGGCTGCCCATAGCGCATTTACTAGACTCTGGTGCCCAGATTTCTGTTGTACTCTGGACAGCTCTCCAAGAAGGTACCCTATAGGCAGGCTAGGAGACTGGAAGTTTGATTCATTGGCTGAAGTTTCAATACGGTGCTGTGCTGGACAGAGGCAAAGGAACTAGATAGAGCTCCGGAGACATGACAAAGGATGGCAGAGGAGCAAGTGGTTCCTACATCACCCTCCCACTCAAAAAGTCTTCAATGGCTTCCTGTGGACAACATTAATGTAACACACACTGGCATTCAAGGTGCTCTTTCCATTTGTATTATTCATGCTTTGGCCATACCCCATCTACAACTCATCCTGTATACTCCATATGCTCCTGCCAAACAGAGCCACTTGAACTTGCTCCTCTCCCTAACTTTCATGCCTTGCATATGCTATACCCTCCATCTGTAACACCCCTTTCAATACTCTCGGTCTACATTTTTTTTTAATTTAAGACTTATTCCAAATGATACATCCTCCATGATATTGTTCCTGATTCTTTCCACCTGTCTCCTTCCAACTGCCCAATTTTTATTGTTTCTCCATTGAACCCCAAGGTGGTTTGTAGCTCTTGTTTAGCATTTAACTTGTGTTTTGTGCCTTGTACTTGTTTTACAAGGTCGGACAACTAAGTTCACAAACTCATCCTAGAAAAAGTGCTACATACCTTATTGTTGAATATCACTATGGTCACCTTCAAAGTATACCCCTTGGGAAGCTGTGCACCAATGTCAGTGCCTAGTCCACCCTTCAAAGCAATTTTGGAACTCTTTCTCTGGAATGGCAATCAGAGCTATCGTTGTATTACCCTGGATGTCCTAAATGTCTTCTTTTCAATATTTCCCTTATCTTCAGGTAAAGAAAGAAGTCATTGGGGGTCGGATCAGGTGAGTAGGGAGGGTGTTCCAATACAGTTATTTGTTTACTGGCTAAAAACTCCCTCACAGATAGTGCCGTGTGCGCTGGTGCATTGTCGTGATTCAAGAACCATGAATTGTTGGCGAAAATTTCAGGTCGTTTTTGTCTAACTTTTTCACGCAGCCTTTTCAGCACTTCCAAATAGTAAACTTGGTTAACTGTTTGTCCAGTTGGTACAAATTCATAATGAATAATCCCTCTGATATAAAAAACGGTTAGCAACATCATTGCAATAAGTTCGCAAACTTAATTTTCAGACCTCATATCACCTCTATACCTGCTCCTAGAAGGTGTAACAACAGATCTTACTCATGTTTTCAGCTCAACAACGCCTTGTTCAGAGCCTTGAATAAAGCATCAAAAGTCATTGAGGTGTAGTAAAAATTTCCTGAAAGCTAAGTTATATCATTTTGCAAGAATCTGCCATGCATGAACTCTTGGGTGGTATCCTGTGTGCCCACCCCAGGACATAAGAAAGGCAGAACCCCAGATTTTCAATATATAGGTGAGATCAAGTAAGCAGAAGAAATTGTCCTCAAAGAGTTTACAACCTAGTAGTGAGACAGCATATAATGTGTCTTCCACTAAGGAAACATTTACTGAAAAACTTGGAAGTTTTTATTTGAAGATGAATGAACTGAGTTATATGAGGTGTTATTAGGTGTTCTTTAAAAGGATCCCATGATCAGTTAATTGGAGAATGTCCAATGGTGGGGCAAATGTGTAATGGCCAACCATAGTAAGAAGGTATCGTCAGACTGAAGAACAATGCAGGCAACTCCAATGAATATAACAGAATTTATTATAGGGTAATTTACTTAAGGGAATGTAGGGTTGAAATGAACAAATGACCCAGCAGTTCTGCGAAAAATATTCTCCATTACCAGACCCTTATTACACTACTTTTTAAAATGGTATAACTCAGGTAATTGATAAGACAAAAGGACAAAGAATGCAGAATGCACCAGGGGCCATATCACATCCTGGCAGTTTTGTGATAAATGATTGTTTATAACTGATACTATTACCAGTTTAATATTTATCTTGGTTGTCATGCTATTCCAGCCATTACTAACAAAAATATTTATGGGTATGTTTTATGCAATACAGATAATCATCAACTTGAAGGTTTTGGTATGCTTGCATAGGACACTAAGGTTGATTAAAGGTCAATAATCCAGAACACAAAGATAGAGTTGGTTTTTGTTCATAAGCACATCTATACAGGGAATCACTTCAAGCTTTATTTTCCTTTCGGAGATTCACAATACATATTAGAATACTGAAGGCTCTAGAAATTCTGCAGTAAGGTAAGCTGTTGGGTTTTGCTTGACACTGTATTTCCAGACTCATTTGACCATGGAACCCCTTTTTTCCTCACAATTTCTACAGTTTGGGAAATGATGAAATAAAGGGGAGAAAGACAGGCCTAAATAAGGGGGCAGGAAGACAACTTTGAGAAGTCAGAGATTACCAAAAGACAGGCATAAATAAGGGGGCAGGAAGACAACTTTGAGAAGTCAGA